CTGGCACAACTAAGGAACTTAGATTTTGGTGGCTGAGCAAAGGCCAACACCCCTTTTAGAAAAGGAACCAAACCCAGTGGGAAGAAAGGTTTGACCAACTTGACTTAAAATTAGGACTCAAATGCAAAGCTAGTCTAACTTATGGGTGGGCTAAGTGTAGTCAGCCACATACAGCCCACCAGGGTATTTTTGTAGTAAGGGCTCCTAAGGGGACAATAATTGCCCTGAAATGCCCTCTGGAGGTGTGTGGGGCATTTTTGCCAGATTTTGGGCCTTCTTGTGTCATTTTAGACCCGAAAAATGTCCTTTTCAAAAACCACAAATGTTCCAGTTAATTTATGTCTCTTTTGGGTCTAAAATTGTTTAGGAGATCATAAAAATATGGCAAAAATGTCCTCCAGAGCCCTAAGAAAGCAATGCTCAATACCTTTTTACAGTGAAAGATAAGGGGGTACAGCCTACCAAAGTCTGCTAGAGCAGTAGTTCTCAACCTGGGGTTCTGGATCCCTGGGGGGTTGCAAGGGGGTGTCAGAGGGGTCACCAAAGACCGTCAGAAAACACAGTATTTTCTGATAGTCATGAGGGTTCTGTGTGGGATGTTTGGCCCAATTCTATTGTTGGTGGGGTTCAGAATGCTCTTTGACTGTAGGTGAACTATAAATCCCAGCAACTGCAACTCCCAAATATCAAGGTCTATTTTCCTCAAACTCCACCAGTGTTCACATTTGGGCATATTGAGGATTCTTGCCCAGTTTGATCCAGATTCATCATTTTTGAGTCTACAGTGCTCTCTGGATGTAGGTGAACTACAACTCCAAAACTCAAAGTCAATGACCACCAAATCCTTCCCGTATTTTCCGTTGGTCATGGGAGTTCTGTGTGTCAAATTAGGTTCAATTTTGTCATTGCTGAAGTTTAGAATGCTTTTTGATTGTATAAATTCCAGCAACTACAACTCTCAAATGACAAAATCAATCCACTCCCAACCCTACCAGTATTCAAATTTGGGTATATCAGGTATTTGTGCCACATTTGGTACAGTGAATGTAAATACATTCTGCATTATCAGATATTTACATTATGATTCATAACAGTGGCAAAATTACAGTTGTGAAGTAGTAATGAAAATAATTTTATGTATGTATGTGTGTATGTGTGTGCGCGTGCGCGTGTGTGTGGTCTATCTATCTATCTATCTCTTGGTCAATGACCAGCACCATAAATGTCAATATATACATGTCAGAATATCAACATATGCATTTAGGTATTAAGAAAAAATGTCAAAAGCAAAGTTAAAACCCAGTATTGAATGTGATAATTTTATGGTTGGGGGTCACCACAACATGAGGAGCTGTATTAAGGGGTTGCGGCATTAGGAAGGTTGAGTACCACTGTGCTAGAGGGAATGCAGCTCCCTCTTAGCCTCCCAAAGCTGCTTGCCCCCGTTTGAGTGAAAGGATCACTGCAAAGCATTAAGGAATTGGATAGGATGATAGGAAGAGAAGGAGGCCAATCTAAGCTTCAAGAATGTAGGACTAGGAAATACAAATCAGCACAAGACATTTTATTTTGATTCCCTCCAGAAGTGTCCTGGCACTTGATGATGTTAGATTAAAGTCAGTCAGCAACACTGTTTGATCATCTGGAATGCAAAACACTTTTCAAATGGATGTGAAAAGACAACTCAATTCTCAGAAATACATGAAATGTCAGTCTGAATCATGTTGGGTGCAGTGGATTTATTCTACAGTCACTCAGGTGTGATGTTGAAAAGGTTTGTAACTCTGAAGGCTGGTTCTCTGTAATCAATAATCTGATCTGGACCATTTTCATGCTTTAATTTCCCTTGATTTATGTGTTTCCATACAGCTGTGACAACATTTCTGGGCAAAATGTGGAAGGAGCATCTGGATTTTTTTATTTATTATTATTTTGTTTTTTGGACCCCATGCTTTTGCCAGCCAAAAAAGGTCTGCAAACAAAAGTCAACAAATCCGGAGGAAACATTCATCTGCAAAACATGCCGTTTTATTTCTACGGAACGTACAGCCATGAAAGATTAAACATGCAGGGTTTAGAAGGAAATACTCAACATTTGGCCTGTAAGGAGTCTCAAAGTAAAAGATAAATCTCTCTGAATCTTAGAGCCTTAAATAAAAGGAAGGTAAACACTACCAGTGTTTTGAGGATAACATTCCAGAAAGGCAGCCATAAACCTTGGTGGTCTCCCCATTATTTAGGCAGTCAGGAGAAGCATAGAAGAAAACTTGATCCTCAAGGTATCCCTAGAACTTAACTCTCAAAGGCAGCTCTTTGAAGTCAACAGCAACCATCTTTCTTCTCTGCAGCTTTTCCATTAAAACTCCCCTTGCAGCCCATGCAGACAAACTACTGAGCTAGTATTAACTACTGTTTTGACCAAAAAAATGGCCATACATTTCCTGCTTAGCTATCCTTCAAAACAGGAGTAACACCTGTTCACCATTTAAATTTTCCATAGTGTCAAAAAGTAACTATTAAATCTGAAACCAGTGAAATTTAAGGCCCCCTCCACACTGCCCTGATCCCAGGATCTGCTCCCTGGTAGCGCAATGGGTTAAACCCTTGTGCCGGCAGAACTGCTGACCAAAAGGTCAGTGGTTCAAATCCAGGGAGCGCGGTGAGCTCCCATCTGTCATCTCCAGCTTCTCATGCAGGGACATGAGAGAAGCTTCCCACAGGATGATAAAACATCCAGGCATCTCCTGGGCAACATCCTTGCAGACAGCCAATGCTCTCACACAAGAATCAACATACAGTTTTTCAAGTCAATCCTGATATTAAAAAAAACAGGAGTCCCCACTGCCAGGTGACCTGGGATAAACAAATAATCTGGGATCAGATCCTGGGATAAAGGGGCAGTGTGGAAGGGCCTAAGTGGTCTAAGTGTCAGACTGTGGAAAACAAGAGTTTTCAATCCCATCTCAGTCATGAAAACCTACTGGGCAATTCTATGCAAATCACTATCTCTCAATCTCAGAGGAAGGCAATGGCAAACTTCCTCTGAAAACCCTACAATAAATTCAACGTTGTACAAAATTAAACAATGAAAAGGGCGTTAGGATGAGGAGATTCAAATCCGCCTCTTTCTATATAATTTATTTCTCCCTCTACTCTGGTGTTCTTCAATCTTCTTCAACCTTCAAGATTGTGGCCCCCTTCTGACCTTGTTTCTTTTCTGTGGCCCCTCTCCTTCATCTTATCAGTAAATTTAAATGTTTTGTTTTTAAATAGAGCGAGTTTTATTATAATTACATAATTCATACAAAAGACAATAAATAAATAAATAAAGTTTATATTTCAACAATTTCTCCATCAGTGTGACTCTTGATGATATGAAACAATGTTTTTATATCCAGATCTACTGCTGTGAGGAATAACTGAAGATCATCTCCATTATGTTTAGGCAATTCCGCATTAGGCTGAGTAAAGAATTCATATAACTAAAACATGATTCTACCAAATACAAAGTGGGATATATCATGAAGAACAATTTTGCTTTATCCCAAATCTGTGGAAACATTTTAGAAATAATAATAATAATAATAATAATAATAATAATAATAATAATAATAATCACCAATGCATCACATAGTCCTAGACACTTGGGAAGTGTGATCCAATACAACAACCAGCATAGTGATCTTGTTTGCTGTGTACTAATCTTGTTGCATTTCAAATAATGATAACAACAACAATAAAACTTTATTTATACTCTGCCCGATCTACCCAGAGGAACTCAGGGTGCATATTGTGCTCTTCATAAAAAAATATGGTGTTTTCCTTGACTTCTCACTTCTTTCTATGGGCCCTTAAACTTGTGCCATGGTCCCCTTTCTCCATGATTTTAACCTGTGGTCCCCTTGGAATATCCAGGAACTCAAGTTGAGAACCTCTGCTTCACTTTACTATCTCAAATTCGTTTTTCCCTCAGCCATGCTCCAATATCAGTTTCATTGCAAAAAGATTAGTTGTTGATCTTCAGTATTTGACAATGTAAGGCAAACTGTGGGAGAATTCCTCATTCATTTCAGAAACCTCCCTCAGGATTTTTCAAGAGCAAATGTAAAATAAGAAAGAAGGAACTTGTACACACTGCCTTCACCTTCTTCAATCCATCATCCTAAATGCTTTGCTACCATCTAACCCAGTGGTTCTCAATCTGTGGGTCCCCAGATGTTTTGGCCATCAACTCCCAGCTAACAGCTGGCAAACATGTGGCATAATGAAAAATAAAATAGTTCACGTTTGATCAGTCCACACACTGCATTGCAAGAGAAAGAAAAATATGCCACACAGATGATCAATAAAGAATTAGTAGTTTACTCTTCGTAATTCAGAACAACATATGTACAGTCATGTGATCGGTTACATCAACTCGCATTATGTCCTTTAATGGGAGATTTAAAATGGTCTTTTTTTGCCCATGTGAAGAATCTTCCTCCAGAAGCTCATGAAGCAAGAGTAACTCCAAACTCTGTCTCTCTCTGCTTCTCTCTACAAGCACCTGCATAGCCCAGGTCTAAAAATGTATCAGTATCCAACAGTCCCAGGCTCAGCCAGCTCCCCAGCCAAACAGCTTCATGCATCTTATTTTACAGTTGACACACACACTAACTGGTTTGTTACATGCTCCAACAAAACTGGCTGAGATTTCTGGGTAGGCCAAAACACCTGGGGACCCACAGATTGAGAACCACTGATCTAAGCTCAATTCCAATACTGAAGGTGGTAGGAGGGAGGAAGCTGACTGACAAGCTATTGGGAGGAAAGCCATAAGACAACCCACCACATCCACTTGGGCCATTTAACTCAGTCTCCTTGCTTTCAATGGAATCAGGATTTGGAACAGACAACATTTTGAAATGCATGGGTCTTCTGTAATTGCATCTAGTGGTATGGACAAGAAAGTTAGACTTTAGAGATGTAATGAGAGTGAGAGCGATGTGGCTCATTCTTACCTGAACTAGAGTCATCTGCGAGCCAAGAGCCAGCAAAATCTTCTCTGTCTTGGTGGGGTATGGATTGTCTCGGTGCTTGTAGAGCCACTGCTTCAATGGCCGCGCCATGTCCTGAAGCGCCTGGCGTTTGTGTCTCACCTTCCCACTGTTTTGCCGTGTACTGTAAAGCAGAGCAGAGAGCCTTTTAGACATTAATCCAGAATGGATTGTAATCACTCCATAGCATCGGCCAGGGAAAGCCTAGAAGATTTTTTAAAAGTTATTTTGTTGTATGACAGTTCTCAGATTCATCCAGCCAGCACAGCAGTAACTCCAGAACTTTTCCAAATTCTTGCTATGAATTACTGTAAAAGTACATTTTTGTATATATTGTATACATCCATTGCAATGTATAGACCGCTAAGTCATGTAGGACCTATTTATTATGAGATGTGGCTATCCATCGACTTAATAATAAAGCAATCATTTGTCTCAGTTAACATGCCAAATTTTAAAATGTGTGCCTTGTGAAAACATTAACACTGATACTTTTATAGATATTGAAGAGTAAATTATAGGCAGCTGAATGAAACTGATACTCTCATTGTTCAGTTCTGTTACATATTTTTTTGATATTTTCTGATTTGGTGCCCAAAACTTCAACAGAACGACCCTAGAACAGCCTAAACACACAAACACCAAATGTGCTAAACTAGACTGCCAAACTAGTTGGCGTTGGCTGTGACTGCTTGAGACTGATGCTAATAGAGTAAACTGCATTAATTCTACAGTGTAGATACATCTAACTTCAGGTGCATCTATGCTGTAGAATTAATGCAGTTTGACATCACTTCAACCGCTATGGAAACACGGGTTTGTAGTTTTATAAGGCTAAAGAGTGGTGGTGCCTCACCAAACACCAAATCCCAGGATTCCGTAGCATTGAGCCATAGCAGTTAAAGAGGTGCCAAACAGCATTAATTCAACAGTGTAGGTGCACCTTACATCCCATCACTTTCGTCAGACCTTTTCCACATTTAAAGGAAGCTGGACAAGCAGCGCAATCATCCATGTGTTTGTTTACTCAGAAGTAAATTGCATTGTACTCAGTATCAATGATTCCCACTTAGCTCTGTACTAGTGATATTGGTAGGTTACATACCTGTGACCATCTTTCTTCGAGTGGTGCTCTGCGAATTCACACTTGTGGAGAGACTGTGCCTGCGCGGGCTCCAACGGAAACTTCTACATTTTAAAACTTTTCAAGTTTTGGCGGTAACCCCGCCCAGACCCGGCAGGGGATAAAAGGGCGCCCCGCGCACACCGATCCAATTCCTACGCCGCTACAATAGCGAGAAATTGGAGGTTTGCCTAGTGGGGAGGCTGGGCGGGTTAGTGTGAATTCGCAGAGCACCACTCGAAGAAAGATGGTCACAGGTATGTAACCTACCATTTTTCTTCGTGGTCTCTGCGAATGCACACTTGTGGAGACTAGCAAGCTCAGGTCCCGGAGGCGGGAAGAAGGCAAACCGACTATTCAAGTCAAGGGCCAAACAATTTTATTAAGTGCAAACAGTTACCAACAAAGGATTGTAATCACTTCCGAAGAAGGGCACAGTACATGAATTTTATGGGAGTACGTGATCCTCCCGGTCACGTGAGAGTGACCAATCTACAGTGAAAGACACTGAGTAAGTGAGGGCATTCTTAAACGATTAGCATAAACTTGTGACCCTTGGAAACAAGAACACAGTCATTGTAAGGACACTCATTGCAATGAGGGCACATTAAGTAGTTACACAAAAACAGTATTATCAGCAAGTGCAAAACACATTTGTAAGAAACAAGGTGTCAATAGTGACACAAAGTACTACCCGTAACGAGCCCGTTAGGCTATAGTGCAGAGTTGCCTGCGCCTCAGGCAGTGAAGGCATCAAGTGTAAAGGTGCAATTACATTCA